CACACACACACACACACACACACACACACACACACACACACACACACGAAGAAAACACTGGGCACAATAGTATACATATAATCTGAACACTTAGGAGATAGAAGATCCAGCAAATAAGGTTGTGTGTGTGTGTGTGTGTGTGTGTGTGTGTGTATGTATTTAATATATTTAGGGCCATATAAGTACACATTGTAAAATGATCAGAATTCAGTAACTTGTCACCAGCAAATGAGGCTATTTTAAATATGGCCTTTACATACATCCTTAAAACATATCCAGAGTGTCACAAAACCAGTCTCTCATACACATCAAAGAATAACTATTTTGACAAACAAATTATCTGACATTTGGCCAATAGGATCGGTACTGTTTCAAGCTGCCTTTTTAAAGTTGTTTATTGCACGAAATTATATAAGACAAGTGATTTACTGTCACTATCATTACAGAATGTTCAGTGGGGCAGGCAAGAGAGGTCAACAGGTAAAGCCCTTGCTGATCCAGCCTGATAAGTGGAACAAACCCCTGAGACCTGAGGCAGGAGGAAGCCAACTTCCAACAGTGGTTCTCTGGTCTCACATGTGCACCATGCACCAAAGATAAACAAACAAATGAAACGTTTCGTGTTTAAGAGAGTGGCATTGCTGTGCCATCAAATGCAGAAAGGTTTTAATTTTATAACACAAGCACTTATCCATTAATTAACAGTTTTCTGATTTCTCCTTCCTTTTAGATACCATCAACTACTGTCTATAGTCTAACTTCTAGATTCTTCATTTAAGTGGAAATTTTATAGTTGTCATTTTACTGAACATAATATCTTCAAGGTTCACTCAAGTAGCATAAGTAAGAATTTCCTTCTCTTTTAAAGCTGAGCAATGTTCTATTACACATATCTCATTCATATACATATATATATATATATATATATATATATATATATACATATACACATATACACACGTGCACACACTACATTTTGCTTATGTTTCTCTCGTGATGGACATTTGGATTGCTTCCACTTTTTGGCTACTGTATTAGTCAGGATTCTCAAAGGGAACAGAAGTTATAAAATGAATCTATATGTATATAGGCTGGGGGTTATGTAATGACATGTATATTTGTAATATATATGTATGTACACTGTATGTAATATTGATATGATATACGTTATATACATGTACATGCTCATATATGCATATATTATATGTATGTGATGTTTATGTAATGACATATATCTGTAATGGTGTGTGTGTGTGTATTTATATGTGTGTGTGTGTGTATTTATATGTGTGTGTGTGTGTGTATTTATATGTGTGTGTGTGTGTATACATATGGGGGATGTATGTAATGGTCTATTTGTATATATAAAAGGGGTTTATGTAATGATTTACAGGCTGTGGTCCAGCTAATCCAACAATGGCTCTTACCAACCAACAGAAGATCCAAAAAACCAGTAGTTGTTCAGTCCAGGAGGCTGGATGTCTCGACTGCTCGACTGGTCTTCAGTACACACCAGAATCCTGAAGAAGTAAGCTTTAACACCAGTGAAGGGATGAACTTGCCAGCAAGGTCAAACAGGTAAGAGCAAAATCTTTCTTTGTGTGTGTGTGTGTGTGTGTGTGTGTGTGTTGAGACAGGGTTTCTCTGTGTAGCCCTGGCTGTCCTGGAACTCACTCTGTAGACCAGGCTGGCCTCGAACTCAGAAATCCACCTGCCTCTGCCTCCCAAGTGCTGGGATTAAAGGTGTGCGCCACCACCGTCCGGCGAGCAAAAGCTTTCTTCTTTCATGTACTTTATACAGGCTGCTTGCAAAAGGTTTGGCCCAGATTTAAATTGTATCTTCCCACCTCAAAAATTGGGATTAAAAGTGGGTCTTCCCACTGCAAATGATTTAATTAAGAAAAAAATTTCCTGGGTCTAGCATAGTGGCACACAGCTTTAATCACACCACTCCAGAGGCAGAGGCTAGTGGACCTACATGAGTTTGAGGTCAGCCTGGTCTACAAAGCCGGTTAATCCACTCATTAGGCACAAACCCTTAGGATCTCACGAAACACCCCTACAGTCATGCCCAGAGTGTACTTTACTAGTATCCGAGCTCTCTCCAATCCAATGTAACTAACCAACTAAATTAACTATCACAGGGCTAAAGAGATGGCTCAGCTGTTAAGAGCACCTGTTGCTCTGCAGAGGACATGCCTCTGGTCCTGACTCTGAATTCTCTTTTTATCGTTTGAGCAACTATCATGCTGTCATACTACTGTCCCCTGGAACTCCGCTTTTACTGCTACCAAATTAACAAGGCTTCCAAATCTTCAGCATCCTTAGCAACACTTGCTACTTTTTAGCTTTTTCTTTCTCCCCCTTCTCCTCCTCCCCTCCTCCTCTTGTAACATGATAGCCATTCTAATGGGTATGAAGTTATCTCACCTGGTTTTTACTTGCATTTCTCTAATAATTTACAAAAATGAGCACTTTTTTCATGTATTTACTGACCACTGTGTATTCTCTCTGGGAAAATGTCTATTCAAATCCTTTGCCCATGCTATGATTTGTTTTGGTACTAGAAGGAAACCTAGGCCCTTTCAAAGAGTGTAACCACTAAGTTAAATTCTCAGCCCACCTATGCCCTTTCAAACTGGATATTTCTAATTTGCTAAGCTATACTTATAGTCTTTATATATCCTATGTTGACCTCTTAACATATATATCATTTGTGGTACGGCTTGAAGGTGAGTGACTTTAGTGTTAATTTTTTAACTGGATGTGAGATTTGATTAGTGAACATGACTTGCTAGGGTGTGGTGGTTTGAACACGTTTGGCCCAGGGAGTGGCACTATTAGGAGGTGTGGCCTTGTTGAAAGAAGTGTGTCACTGTAATTGTGGGCTTTAAGACCCTCATCCTAGCTGCCTGTAAGTCAGTCTTCTGTTTGCCTTCGGAACAAGATGTAGAACTCTCATCTCCTCCCACATCAAGCCTGCCTGGGCTCTGCCATGCTCCTGCCTTGATGATAATGGACAGACCTCTGAACCTCTAAGCCAGCCCCAATTAAATGTTGTTCTTATAAGAGTTGCCTTGGTCATGGTGTCTGTTCACAGCAGGAAAACCCTAACTAAGACATAGGGTGTAGACTCAACACAGTGGAGGCCCTTGGGAGTACAGGGTCTACCACTTGTCCAGGGCACCACCACTGGTGACATTTTGACCCCAAAGTCATTAAAAGATAAGCAACTTCTCAGCTACTATATCTCAAATTAATCTGTATTAAACTTGAGAGATTTTGGCTCTTTTAGCAACCAGGAAATTTAAACTGGGTTCTTACAAGTTCTTAATCAAATGTCCTTATTCTGCACCTTGGTTATGATGGACATGAAAACCTGGCCATTGTGCCCAAGGTCAGCATGCATAGATGTCTAAAGTCTATGTTAAAAGACAGAATTAGATCAGACACATTTATATCCACACTGTCTCCATGGTCCCTTAGGACAACACATACAGGTTGCACATTCTACCAACAAGAGGCAGCAGCCTTGGAGCAATTGCACACAAGGCTCTTATGAGGAAAGAAACCTGAACTGTAGCCTGTGTCTACAGTTAATTCTTTAACTTACAGTACAAATCACTAGTCATCTGGTCCTGAGATTTTCTTGGTGTCTAAGAACATTCCTGATTAAGGATTTGATCTACTTATGAATTCTAAGTCTGCTCAAATTTTCCATTTCTTTTCCTGATCTATTATTCATTTTTAGAACTTACGCATTTGATTTACATTATTAAATGAGTTATTTTCTGTTGTTGTGACAGAGTACCTGAAACTGGGTAACTTATAAAAAAGAAAGGTTGGTTTTAGTTTATGAGAAGCAGGAAGTCAAAGAGCAAGGCTCTAGTATCTGCCTGTTCAATGTCTGCTGGCCCTCAGGATGGAAAGGGGCTCCTGCAGAAAAAAGAAAATGCACCAGACACATTCCCATGAGAAAGGCCTTCATGAGTTATGAAGTCTCTTTCCATAATTTTGACACTCTCAGTTCACACCCCAAAACACTCACAACGGGGAATTAAAGGTGCCTACATGTGGGAAAAAAAACTCGAGGATCGGCCCGCCCACGGTGGCGGCAGCAGAGTCCCGGAGCAGCTGGGAAGTGGCCGTGGGGGGCGGCAGTGCAGGCGGCCTTTGAACCGAGACGGAGGAGTCCCGGAGGCCTATCCTGTGGGCAGGTTCCCACATATGAAAGAAAGTCCAAGGTTCCAGAAGACACGTGGGGTGGGTTTCCAAGGAGTAGCTTTATTATCCATGATGGGAAAGTTGGATCTAAATGTGGATGTGTGCGCCCCCCAAGAGCCTGGGGAGAGCTGGCTTATATAGAGGGTGGGAAGGAGGCGGGATTAGGGAGGGGATAACTTAATTAGCTATGTCCCCGGCCTTTAGATAACTCATTAATATGTAAATCTCAAGGCAAAGGCCTGTTAGCCACGCCCTCTACCTGTGTCTCACATGACTGATGGTACAGGTTAAATGGAGATGAGACCGAGTGCCAGGGCCCTGGGTTCTAGGGGCGTGGCCAAACACCTGCAGTCTCGGAGTTCCAGGCCCGTGCCAACCCAAGATCTCTACAGCCCAACACCTACACTTGAGTTTTCTTTTTAAAGATTTTAAGTTTTTCTGCATGAGTATTTTGTCTGCAGGTATGAATGTGTACCATGTTCATTCCTGGTGCCCAAAGAAACCAGAAAAGGGCAGTGAATTCTCTGGAACTGGAGTTATAGGTTGTTGTGAGCCACCATGTAGGTGCTGAGAACTGAACCCCAGTCCCAGAGGGGAATTCAGTGCTTTCAACCACTGAGTCATCTTTCCAGCTCCTATGTGGACTCCTCAGGGGACACGCTGAAATCATAGCTGTCAGCATATAATTGTTCATAGTATTTTTATAAAAAGCATTTTATTCCTTTGTCCCATCTAACACTGGTGACAGAAGCTAGAGGAGTGCATCTTCCAGTCAAATATACTACCACTGAACTACATCCAACTAACCTTTTCACTTTTTTTTTTTGGGGGGGGGGTTCGAGACAGGGTTTCTCTGTATAACCCGGGCTATCCTGGAACTCACTCTGTAGACCAGGCTGGCCTTGAACTCAGAAATCCGCCTGCCTCTGCCTCCCAAGTGCTAGGATTAAAGCCGTGTGCCACCACCACCACCTGGCAATTCAAGCTTATTTTAAATTTAATTAATTTATTTATTTAATTAATTTCTATAGCCTAGGTTGGTTGTAGGTTCACCTACAATTTTCCTGTATCAATTTTCTATCTATGTAGCTGAAGTTATAGCCCTATACTATCAAGAAAAGAATAAAATTCCTTTTATATCTATAATCAGTTATAATAGTGTCTCAGTTATCTGAATTTCCTTTCTTTTAGTGGGGTTTCAATGAAAATGGGCCCCAAAAGATCATATATTTGCATTCTTGGTCCAGTTGGTAGAACTGTCTGAGAAAAATTAGGAAATGTGGCCTTGTTGGAAATGTGTCACTGGTTTTGCTATTTCAAAAGCCCATCTCCCCCCCCCCCACACGTTTCTGCTTCCAACTAGCAGATGAAAGCTCCCAGCTACTGCTCCCTGC